GACGCATGACACGTATGGGTGGCAAAAATAAGCACGGTCCAACAACCCGGTCTGAGTAAGGCACGAAAAAATCGTGATTCGGTTCAAAAATTAAACCCGAAATAATTTTGGGATGGGCCGGTACAATTGAAAATTCGTGTCGAGCCCTGGCCTACTGAAACCGGGCCATTCTGGCCCAATCCAATTTCGAACAAAAATAAATAAATTAATTAATATATAATAATATAAATATTATGTAAATAAGAATTTATTTTAAAGGTTAAAAAATACAATTTCAAAAATAAAATCCTAACAAACAAAATCCTAATCCAAACATTCCACTCAATTTCTCACGGACTCCTCACGGTTGACGCAATCACAAAGGCAGAAAAGCAGATCTCTTCACAATGATGCAGTCACGCAGGCAGAACAACAACGCACCACGGTGCAGCCACGCAAGTAAGTGTTGTGTATCTTCTCAAATGCCTCACATTGGATAAGAGATAGAAAAGTGAGGGCAATGACTCCTATAAATTGACCCATTTGGATCTTGTTTTAAAACACCACAACAAACATTTTCTCCTTGATAACTAGAAAGAGTGAAGTAGAGATTTGGTGAGTTGTAAGAGTGTTTTACAATTTTGTACGTGCAAAAATTGTAATAAATATTTTAGTAGATTATTCTATTTTGGGATTGTGGATGTAGGTCTGTTATGAGACCGAACCACATTAAAATTCTTGTGTCTGCTTATTTATTTTTCTTTCTTCTCTTGTGTGTGTTTCCAACAAGTGATATCAGAGCGATGTCATAATTCTTTTAAAACTCTGAGAATACTCTACAGTTACAGCTGTGATTGATCTTCCACATCATAAAGGATTTTGCTAGAATTTTTTTTTTTTTTTTGAGCGAGTTCTTGGTAAAGGGAGGAGAGAATGACAAGACATGTTTCGAGAGAATTTGACTCCACGTCAAAATTCCAAGTTGCAGTTCCACAACGGATTCCGGCAACACACCGGATTTCTGCCAGAAATGTCGGTTTTGACTGATTTTGAGTTTCTAATTTTATTTTTGAGCCTCTGTTTATTTGGTTGTTGGAATTGCTTGTTAATTGGAGATTTATTAAGCACTATGTCCACTACTTTGAAATATGAGGTTTCGCTCTTTGATGGAAAGAGTGATTTTACTATGACAAAGTACAATTCGAGACTATTTCGTGCAACAAGGTCTTGATGTTGCCTTGAAAGATGGAAAGCCAAAACGTATGAAAGATGGTGATTGGAGTTTGATCCGGAAAAAGGCTATTAGCACATTTGATTTGCACTCACCCTGCAGATAAAGGTTATCATGTTAATGGAAACATTGTCAAAAAAGTTGTAGGATACTTTAGATAGTAAATTTGCCACGAAGACGTTGACTAACCACCCGATTATGAAGATGGATCTATACTTTTTGAAGATGGAGGAATGATGTAATATAATTTACCATACTAACAAGTTCAATGAGCTAGTATGTCAACTGTTGAATGCAAAAGAAGAAATTAAAGAGGAAGAACAATCGTTGCTCTTGTTAGCTTCATTGCGCAAATTCTACAAGCCGTTGGTGCAGGCAATGTTGGTTGGAAAAATTACATTGAAATTCAATGAGACTATAACAATTTTGAAAAAGAATGACAAAATAATGGAAAACGAAGGCACTTTAAAAGGAGAGTCAAATACTAGTTGTGGGGAGTTCTCAAAAAAGAGAAGGAAAATGAAGAGTGACTGCGGTGGAAGATCGAAATTTTGGCCGAGAGATTACAACTCTATTCAGTGTCATTATTTTGGAGAGCTTGGTTTCGACTTTTTAAAGAAGACTTAAGAAGTCTGAGAATACCACGGACATGGTCAGTTATGAAGGTGATTTACTTCTTTTAATTACAAATCCTGTTGAGAATTCTAATTGGGTGATGAATTTTGTTGTCGATGTCCATATATGTAAAGATCAAGCTTTAATTGATTCTTTGCATACAAAGAGAGATTTTGGCTACATTAATATGGGAAATAAGATGAAGCAGCGAATTGAAGGCATTAGAAGAGTTCGCTTAAAGCTCTACAATGATAATGTCAAAATAATTTTTAATGTGAGATATGTGTCTACTGTTGGAGCTAATGTTATTTCATTGGGCGAGTTCGCTTCACATAGGCATAGATATATTGACACTAAAAATCTATGCAAAGTGTACAAAGGTGACAACTTGATTATGCAAGGGAGAAAGAAATAAAACAACATATATTATTTAGATGGATATGCCTTGCGAGCAAATGTAGGAACAACATGATACGAAGAATCATAAAATTGAAAAGAAAATTCGTTTTTTCTGATATGGTTGAAATATGTGATACTATGGGAAGAGATAGGATTTGTTCTGTATCTTCCCAAATATCCCACATTGGATAAATGATAGAAAAGTGGAGGCAATGACTCCTATAAATTGACTCATTTGGGTCTTGTTTTAAAATACCACAACAAACATTTTCTCTTTAGTAACTAGAGAGAGTGAAATTGAGATTCTGTGAGTTATTGTAAAGAGGATTTAAAAATTTTGTCCGAGTAAAAATTGTAATAAATATTTTAGTGGATTATCCCATTTTAGAGTTGTGGATGTAGGTCTGTTATGGGACCGACCACGTTAATATTACTATGTCTGGTTATTTATTTTTCTCTCTTCTCTTATATGTGTTTCCAACAGTAAGATCATGTCAACGGCTCTTGATAGTTAGAAATCGCATGCGTTTTATATTCATATCATATGCGATATTTAGGTGATTTTGATTGGATTCTACCTAATTTATATGCGAATTGTTTATTTGCTGTATTTATTTGCTGTATGCAGATGGCAAATATTAAATTTGGCATAATTGACAGAAAAAGGAAATAAAATTAATTAAAGGCCCAAAAGTCAATCTACAAAATAATTAGGGCAAACATTAAATAAAAGGAAGGATCACACGTTTCAAAAGAGGAGGACGGCTAGGGCAGAAACGCACAAGAATAGGAGACTGACAGATTCATAGATCGCGCAGGAGCAAATCGACAGAGAAGATTTCCTCCTCCCACTATGACTTTATCTTTCACTTTTGTTCTTTGTTATTTAATTATGAAGTAGATACTTTTTTGGTTTGAGGGGTGATAATGTTTTGGTTCTTTTGTTTTGGAGATTCTTGATTTTCTTTATAAGAGTTCTTTTTTATTATCAATATTCGTCTAATTCTGATAATAGAGTTTGTGATTGTTAGATTGATTGAATATTTTGGTACCAATATTTAAATTAGTCTGATAATCTAAAGTCAATTCAGGTAGGATATCCGTAATTGTATTCGCACTTGAATAGGTGATAACCGGGTAGAATAGTTCATTCCCGGGGGTTAGACAATCAAATCTAATTGCTCATCCTAGGTAGTAATTGTTTTGAATTGGGTTTTTCTAAATTACAATGCGGTTAGGCAATATTCTTATGAGCGCACCTAGGTTTATTTGCTTAATTAGGGGTAGTTAACGGTCGTACCTTAATTACCTACACTGTAAGGAAAAATTGGTTGTCAGAACTTATTGATAACTATAACCAATTTATTGATTCTTTAATAAGAATTAACTTTATTGAATTAATGATAAAACACAAGTGCCATAACTGCATCATCCCTTGAGTCAGGTATCCCCTTGATAGTCAGTTCCCCCTTAATTTAATTGCTTTGTTATTTTATTTTCATTAGATAATAAAAGAAAATTCCCCCTTTATTTACTGCATTAGAACACGAAAGAGTAAATCACACAATCCCCGTGGAGACGATCCCTTCCCGGTATTACATTAAATTGTGATCACGGATTAGGTGAAATATTTGATTGGCCGCGCAACAGGTCAATTTTTGGCGCCGTTGCCAGGGATTGTCGCTTTGTTTTACTCTTTTGTATTATTTTAATTTATCCTCCTGTTTATGCCTCGTTCTTCTCGTACAGGTTAACTGATATTTAATCTTGAGATCAAGAAGGTTGAGCGAAAGCTACGAAAGGAAGCCAAGCAACGAAAAGCTGCTTAGGTTGCAAAGCTGGTAGAATCTTTAAACCACCTCAGAATCTCTAGCTCTAGCGACTCTAAAAGTGATCAAGAGACTGTCATGGCTGAGGATACCCGCACTCTAAGGGAGTTGGCTGCTCCCAACTTGGCGCAGCAGCCCTTATGCATTAACTTTCCAACTCTGAATAACACTATTGCTTTTGAACTGAAATTTGGATTAATTCATTTATTGTCTTCTTTTCATGGACTTGCAGGTGAAGAACCTCACAAACACTTGCAAAAGTACGACGTGGTGTGCTTCAGCATGAAACCACCAGGTGTACTGATGAACAGATCAAACTTAGAGCCTTCCCATTCTCGCTCAAAGATGCTGCAAATGATTGGCTCTAATATCTCCCACCTGGAAGCATCGACACGTGGAACGACATGAAAAAGAAATTTTTGGAGAAGTACTTTCCAGCTTCCAGAGCTGCGATCCTGAGGAAGGAGATATGTGGCATTAAGCAACAATCATGTGAAACGCTCCATGAATATTGAGAGCGATTTAATAAGCTTATCATTAAATGTCCACAACATCAAATTCCCCCTCAATTATTGATTCAATATTTTTATGATGGTTTGTCATTGATGGACAGGAACATCATCGACGCTGCAAGTGGTGGAGCTTTAGTAAATAAGACGCCGGCACAAGCTTGGGATCTTATTGCGAGGATGGCTGAAAACACGCAGCAATTTGGTTCAAGAGATGTTGGACATATGAGCGGAAACAACAGCGACCATGCCATCCAATCGATGCAACAACAACTTTCTGAGTTGACGAGCTTTGTTCGCAAGATGGTCGTGGAAAAATCAAACCCGAGTGTCCAGGTCAAGGTGTGTGGAATATGCACGAGTGCAGGACACCCTACAGATGCATGTCCGACCCTCTAAGAAAAATGTGCAGTGGATGTGAACACTGCAAACTACAGTATGAATAGACCTCCAGCGTACAATCCATACTCCAACACCTACAATCCAGGCTGGAGAGATCATCCGAACCTGCGTTATGGAAACACACAGCAGGGTAATGCTCATCAACCATTCGGAGCTATGCAGCAGATGCAACAACCTCGTTTCTATGAGAAACAGCCGCCCCAAGCACCCACAAGCAACTCCAATCCATCTTTGGAAGACTTGGTGAAGTCTACGGCTACCAGTACCCTGCAATTCCAGCAAGAGATGAAGTCAACTGTCGACAAATTACAAGGTCAGATCAATCAAGTGTCAGAGGAGGTGAGACAGCAACGTGAAAGAGGAAAGTGGCCTGCTCAACCTGAGCCAAATCCAGCAAATGTCAGCGCCATCACTATCTACAGTGATATGATGATTGAATGTTCCTCCCGGCCTAATCCAAAGAATACGAGTGCTATAACCCTTCGTAGCGGAAAGGAATTGGAAGGTCCACCTCATATCTCAAAGGAACAAAATGAGGATCAGATTAAGATGGAGATTGAAAAAGAAACTGAACTTCACGAAAAGGTACTTCCTAACTCTGTTCCTCCTACTGAAACTAAATCAGCTCCTTTTCCTGACAGGTTGAAGAAACCACAAAAGGCAAACAACAAAAAGAGATGATGGAAATATTCAAGAAGGTGGAACTTAATATCCTGCTCCTGGAAGCTATCAACCAAATCCCCAAGTACGCAAAGTTTTTGAAAGAACTGTGCACTAACAAAAGAAAATTGCGAGGGGACGAGCATATTATAGCGGGTGAGAACGTTTCTGCTGTTATCAAAAGAAATGTACCACCTAAAACAAGTGATCCATGTATGGTTTCTATCCTTTGTAAGATTGGAAAAACTAAGATAACTAAGGCTATGCTAGATCTAGGAGCTGCTATTAATGTCATGCCTCGATCAATATACGACTCTTTAAATCTAGGGTCTCTAAAAGAAACAGGAATTATTATTCAACTTGTTGATCGAACCCATGCTTATCCCGATGGTATGATAGAAGATGTATTAGTTCAAGTGAATGAATTAATTTTTCCTGTTGATTTTTATATTCTTGATATGCACGATGCACATTGTTTTAATCCACCGCCTCTTTTGTTAGGAAGACCTTTTATGTGCACTGCAGGAACAAAGATAGATGTTAAAAAAGGCATACTCAGCTTGGAGTTTGATGGAGAAGAATTTCATTTCAATATTTTTAATCCCGTCAAATGTCCTGTTGAATCTGAATCGTTATATGCAATTAATGTTATTAATTTTGTGGTGCAGGAAACTTGTGAAGTTGGTAATGAGAATAAACGAAGAACTGTGTTGACAAAACAGTTAGAGAAAAGACCAACTGGAGAGAGTAAGAAAGGAAAAAAGATTGTCGAAAAGTGGAGATGGATTCCCAAAGGATCACCATTGCTGGCAGCGAAAAAATGTCATAAGGAGAATCAAAATTCTAAGCCAAAGAAAAAATGTGTGGCCAATAGACATCGCTTCAAATTATACCACGAGGGACCCTCACTTGATCCTATAAAGTCGGCATCCGTTGCCGATTTCGATGTTCAGAATTGATGCGAGGCGAAGTCTAGCTCAAAGACTATAAAGAAAAGAGTTTTTTGGGAGACAACCCAAATCATTTAATTGCTTTCTTTAATTTTATTTATTTTTATTATTTAATTGCTAATAATACTTTTGATAGTTTTGTTTGGTTTAGTCGCCGCCTCCAACCTCCGGCGCCGTCGACTTCTTCCTCCCCTGCTCAGTCATCACCGATCACCACATCCGTTCCTCTAAATGGCTTTCGTTGGTTAGTTGTTTTCGCAGGACTCAGGAGAACTTCAAGCCTCCCTAAAAATCACGATCAAATAAATAGGTGTTAACAAAGATCCCAACTACTACACCCCCTATGGACTCCAGGGAAGTTCCTCTATTCTTTCATTGCTTTCTTTACATTGAGGACAATGCATACTTTAGGTGTGGGGAGAGTTATGCAAAATTTTGGGCAAATTTTTCAATTTTTGTGCTACTTTTTATGCTTGATTTGCTGTCATTTTGCATGTTTTTGAAATTTGTCTGAAGTGAGTCAAATGTGATTTGTGTGATAGGTTAGTTTGGCATGACTAATGACATTTGATTGATGAAATGTTAAGTCAAGTCGACGTTTGAACCCTGTGAGATTTGAGCCTATGTTCCAAAAGTTACATTAGAAAATAAATTGCACATATTCAAGCTTTTGGAAATTTCTTTCATGTGTGATTTGTAGTGCTCAATTAGATGACCTAGAACTTGAGTAATTATGCATGTTGAACTTGCAACTATCGAGTCTTGCGTTTTGAAAATGATAAGGGAATTAGGTAACCCATTAAGCCTTTCTTTATTACCCAGCACAATATATTCCCCTAGTTAGCCCATTTGAGCCTTCTTAGCCTATTTTTCTCTAATAATAACTTGTCTTTTAGCCTCGTACCCTTCTTTTAATTAAGCCTTCTCCATTTGAACCCTATGTTAGAATGAATTACTTTAAGTCCATGTTGTGATGCACTTCATTTCTTCGGCACTAGTTAGAAACGAACTTCGGGTACGAATAAGTCATAGTATGAAGGAATAACTATGGGTAGTGTAGGTATATGTATATATATATAAAGGCAAAAGCCAAAATAAAAAATAAAAAATAAAAAAAATAAAAAAATAAAAAAATAAAAAATAAAAATAAAAAAATAAAAAAATAAAAAATAAAAATAAATAAATAAATAAAAAGAAAAAAAAGAATATATATATAATAAATACTAAATAAATAATAAAATAATCATCTTGAAGTATTTCTATTTGATTATATTATTGAAGTTTGGGCAGTGAATAGAATAAGGATTTCATTGTTTATGCCGATTTGTTCTTCATGTGCTAGCATCGTGTTCTTATTGTATTCTTTTCTGACATATTTTAGCCCTTGTATATCCTTTTTCCTACCTTGACCATAAGCTCCATTACAACCCTTATTGAAAGTCCTTTTGATTCTCTATGCTAGATTCAAATATCTTTAGTAAGGGAGATTTGATTTTTACTCAAGCCTATAGGATAATCTTTTGTTGCACTACCTGAGTATTGAGCCAATTATACATTTAATTCCTTCAGAGAGCATGTGAGAAAACACTTTATCTTGTGAGGTTGAGTTGGCTTGATGTGTTAAAATTCGGATTGAATTGGTTGTGTTGGATCCTCTTGTCATATCGAGTTGCCTGCGATTTCTTTGGCTTATTTCGAATTTATACTTGAGGGCAAGCATGATCTAGGTGTGGGGAGAATTGATAGTTAGAAATCGCATGCGTTTTATATTCATATCATATGCGATATTTGGGTGATTTTGATTGGATTCTACCTAATTTATATGCGAATTGTTTATTTGCTGTGTGCAGAGGGCAAATATTAAATTTGGCATAATTGGTAGAAAAATGAAATAAAATTAATTAAAGGCCCAAAAGCCCATCTACAAAATAATTAGGGTAAACATTAAATAAAAGGAAGGATCATACGTTTCAAAAGAGGAGGACGGATAGGGCAGAAACACACAGGAGCAGGAGACTAACAGATTCATAGATCGCGCAGGAGCAAATCGACAGAGAAGATTTCCCCCTCCCACTATGACTTTATCTTTCACTTTTGTTCTTTATTATTTGATTATGGAGTAGATACTTTTCTGGTTTGAGGGGTGATAATGTTTTGTTTCTTTTGTTTTGGAGATTCTTGATTTTCTTTATAAGAGTTCTTTTTTATTATCAATATTCGTCTAATTCTGATAATAGCGTTTGTGATTGTTAGATTGATTGAATATTTTGGTACCGATATTTAAATTAGTCTGATAATCTAAAGTCAATTCAGGTAGAATATCCGTAATTGTATTCGCACTTGAATAGGTGATAACCGGGTTGAATAGTTCATTCCCGGGGGTTAGACAATCAAATCTAATTGCTCATCCTAGGTAGTAATTATTTTGAATTGGGTTTTTCTAGATTACAATGCGGTTAGACAATATTCTTATGGGCGCAAGTTAGGTTTATTTGCTTAATTAGGGGTAGTTAACGGTCGTACCTTAATTACCTACATTGTAAGGAAAAATTGGTTGTCAGAACTTGTTGATAACTATAACCAATTTATTGATACTTTAATAAGAATTAACTTTATTAAATTAATGATAAAACACAAGTGTCATAACTGCATCATCCCTTGATCCAGGCATCCCCTTGATAATCAGTTCCCCTTAATTTAATTGCTTTGTTATTTTATTTTCATTAGATAATAAAAGAAAATTCCCCCTTTATTTACTGCATTAGAACATGAAAGAGTGAATCACACAATCCCCGTGGAGACGATCCCTTCCCCTGTATTACATTAAATTGTGATCACGGATTAGGTGAAATATTTGATTGACCGCGCGACAGGTCAGCTCTATATATATACATTATACATATATATATATATAGGATACATACATAGTCTCCGTTGATAGTGTGTTTGGATTGATTTGAGACTTTTTTTATCAAATAATTAAATCGTTAAATTTAATTACACCATTATTAATTTTATAAATTTATTATAATTTACATTTATATCATTAGATTTTTTACCTATCCAATCAATACACATCAAAATCCTTCAAACTCAAACCAAACCTATAATCTTAAAGAAATACAAAATCTCAAACCCATTATAAATTCAAATCCAATCCAAACTCCAAATAAACACACCCCTAATTTTATCCTAAAAAAATAGTTAAATAATAATAATGTCATTTTTGTAATCATATGTAAGTTGTATAAGTTTCTTTAAATTATACTAGAAGTGCAACTACTAAAGAAGAAAAGAAATACATTGATTTCCGAACAATCAAAATGAAAAAACGAAGACATTGATTTAGGGCAGATAAGCATAAAAATTTGTTTTCTACAAAATAACATCAATAATCAATATCCTTTGAAATATAATTTTTTGAAATAGTTAAATTTATTTTAGTCAAATATATATTTCTTTTTACTAAACTCCATAATATCGAACTTAAAAAAAAAAAAAAAAACCCACTGTTAAAATATATTTAGAAGTAATATATTATATTTATGGTAGTTATTTTATTTAATAGATTCGTTGGATTCTTGCCTTATTTAGATGATTTGTATATCACTACAAATATGTATGTATTCTTATGATTGAAATAGAAATTTCAGTTTCATATTCTAACATGGTATCAGAGCCAAATTCTCTCCGGGTACATCCATTACCCGTTATATCATGTATATATTTTTATATTTTATTAATGTATTTGCTTTTATTACGATCATGTTGTTATTTTCATGTCGTCACCGTCTCTACTACTCTACTGACAAAGTCTACTTTAAACTCTAACGTCGTTGAGAGTCTTGTTTTCGACTCTAACTTTATTGAGAGCGAGGGAGTTCTGTTTTCGAATCTATCTCTGTTGTGAGTGAGCGAGTGTTTTTTCCGACTCTAGCTTTATAGAGTGAGTGAGTCCTATTTTCGACTCTAGTTCTGTTGTGAGCGAGCGAGCGAGTCCTGTTTCCAACTCTAACAGTGTTAAGAGTTCTACTTCTGACTCTAATATAATGGACGACTACAACACTTTCAGTCAATCTTGGCGAATTCAAATTCGTACGTGAAAAATCTCGGCTATATCTTTTTCGGTCACTTCTGACAAACTCAAGTTTGTTCTATCATATCTTGAGTTAGATGAGGGGTGTTAAAATATATTTAGAAGTAATATATTATATTTATGGTAGTTATTTTATTTAAGAGATTCGTTGAATTCTTGTCTTATTTAGATGATTTGTATATCACTATAAATATGTACGTATTCTTATGATTGAAATAGAGAATTTCAGTTTCATATTCTAACACTCACACCTTTCAACCTGAAACTAAGCGCATCCTTGATTGTAATCTCACCACATTATTTTGAGTTTGCCCTTTCGACTAATTTTTTCGACACAATTCTCAATATATATAATATATTATACTTCCTTCGTCCGCAAAAATTAGCATATTTGAAGTTGGCGCAAAGATTAAGAAAAATAAATAGTTTATTGAAAAAGTAAAAAAAGTAAAAAATAAAAAAAATAGTTAAAAGTATTTTTGCAAAATTTTAAAGTGTAATCCAAATGTAATGTCATATTTTTATCACTCTTCTAAATAAATAAATATATTTATATATATTAGAATTTTTATTTATTTTTTATCTTTTATTAACTAATTTATACTATGTATAAATATGTATAGTTTTTATATTTATCTATCTTATACTCCATCGTATGGAATGTATATAATCGTTCATATTTTCGGCATAAATTTTGAAATATTATATTATATATGTACTATAAGAGAAGTATTAGAAGATAATGGTTTTGTTTCTTTACAAAAATAAAAAATAAAAAATAAAAAAATAAAAGATTTCTAAAACAAAATTAATATGTACATAATTATTAGTTTTATATTATTTTCATAATTTTTATATTTCACATAAAAAAAATTAGAAATTTTGAGAAAAAATAATAAAATTGTATTTTTTA